GCCCGCGGGGGCGGACGGGGAAGTCCCGACTTACCTGTCATTACTTTCTACGCCATCTTGGATCCACTTGTCAACGTCCCACAAAGCATTGTGGGAAAGGCCGGCCCTCCCCGCCCGCCGCCGGCTCGGGAGGCGGGGGACACCGTGAGGGGACGGGACGGGAGCGGCGCGGGATGGGCACGGGAACGGGGACGGGGAACCAGGAGCGGGGAGGGAACAGGGAACGGGGATAGGGAACGGGAACGGGAGGGGATGGGAACGGGAATGGGGAACCACGAACGGGATGGGATGGGAACGGGAACAGGGAAACGGGGACGGGATGGGGATGGAGAGAAGGAACGGGAACGGGATGGGAACGGGAACAGGGAACCGGGAACGGGATGGGATGGGACGGGACCGGGAGAGGGAACCGGGGACGGGATGGGATAGGAACGGGAACAGGAACAGGGAACCGGGAACGGGATGGGATGGGAACGGGAACCAGGATAGGGAGCAGGAACCGGGAACGAGACTGGGACCGGGATCGGGATCGGACGGGAACGGGCTGGGGAGTGGGAACTAGGAACCGGGAATGGGATGGGGAGGGGAACGGGATGGGAAACAGAGACCGGGACGGGGACCCGGCTCGGGGTCCCCTCACGGATCGGATCCGGGGGCACCGCCCGCGCTGGCAACCGGCAACCTCCTTGTTTTCTTCATTTTTAATTTTTCCCCTTTTTTTTCGCCCCATCCCCTTTCCTGGGGCTCGGGGGCGCAGCTGCGGAGCCCGAGAGGCGCTGGCGGGCAGGACAGGGATCCCACCCCTGAAAAAAAAGCATGGAAATGGCTTTTTCTCATGGTGATTCTACTGTGCGAGTTGGATCTTTTGTTTTTGATTGGGTTTTTTTTAGTTCTTATTCTGTATGATTTTTTTAAAGTTCCTTCCCTCAAAGAAATTTCCCGAGGCTGGGTCCGGGGACTGCAGCAGGGGATGGAGCAGCTCCCGCTGGACATCGTGTTTTCCCAACCCCATCCGCCCGTGCCCGGGGACTGTTGGTAACAAGGTCCCGGCCGTGCGTGAATCCCAGAAACTGCTTTGCATAACAGTTTTATTTTCACGGAGTAATCTTCTCTGTTAGCTGTGTTTTCAAAATGTTTGGCAATCAGTCCTTAATACCTACGCTGTTTTGCAAACTGGCTTTTTCAAGGCGTTGCTGGCCCAGCTGCCGTGGGTGCGTGCCCTGTGCTCTGTGATATGGGGCAAAGTGGACAAAAAACTGGGGAAAAAACAGCTTACTTCAGGATCTTTATCACCAAGACAGGATTCCAGTGTTTTTGGAAAACTTCTCCTTCCACTTTAATTAAAATAATTACAAGATCCAGATCATTTTAGTATTGGATTTTCCTAAATACATTTATATTTAAATTTACGTTTAATGCCTCCTAAGTCTTTGAAGAATAACCACCAGCCAAGCCTCTGATGCATTCATTGCCACTGCAAGAAGATACTTGTGCCCAAGAAGGTTTTCAATATTCATCAGTAATGCATTTATAAAGAGAGAGCTCCTTGCAAAAATTTAAATACAGGAGGAAATAAATCTAAATAAATCCTTTGCATTTGCAGCCCCAGACTTAAATCAGTCCCCTTTTTAATTCAACTTTAGAAATAGGGTTGGGAGTACAGTTACCTGTGTCAGTGCCATGCCAGAGGGGAGTGTGCGTGGTCCCAGCCTAAACAGGAGACAGGATTTCAGGAGGGTACAAACACTCCCTAAACCTGCCATCTCTGCTGCCCCTGCCTCAGACACCTCCCCAGAGCTGTGACTTGTGTTTTCCATGGGCACTGTGCAAGAAAGGGGGATCAGAGGAAGCTGAAACCCTGTTTAGGATCTAACTTTGTGTCTCATTCAGTCGAGGTTGTTGAAGTGGAATTAGTCCCTTTTGGAGGTTGGTTGTGGTTGTTCCTAGTGAGCTTTATATTACTGATAAATTTTTCTGTTATAAAATGCAAAGGTTTTCTTTAAAATAAATGATAATTTTTTTTAAAAGCAGTGGAAAATAGGATTTGTTTTCTATGCATATTTTTAGATATAAACACACATATATCCTCCGGAGTTCAGTTTGGAGAAGACAGAAATTTGATGGGTTTATTTTTCCCATAAGTTTTTTTTGAGCCCATTTGTTCTGAGTGTATTTCTTTATAATGTGCCAAGAAAAAAACTGTGTGGCAGTGACTGAGTTATAGGAAGAAGGATCTGTTCAATGACAGACCCCATTTTTATTGCTCTTTGTCTCTGATGATTTAAAGTTCCAGGTTGAAAGTACCAAGTGGCAAAGGCTGCTGTAAAAAGGTGGCAACTCTGCCCTGTAGGAACAGCTCAGAAGGGAGCTGGGAAAGACTCTGGGAGCAGGGAATCCCCACCTCAGGAAAAGTGCATAACGTGGAGCCTCTGCCCTTGCACCCACTGCTTTTCATGATCTTGGTACTTAAATTAACCCTCTCAGCCCCCAGATGAAGGAGGTTTTACCCTATTTTGTGGACTGGTTAATGGTATTGAATAAACTCTCAGTGGACATGCCAGAGGCTGGACAGGGAGCCAGCAGTTCTTAGAGAGTGGCTGCCAAGCACTGCCCTGTCCAAGCACTGCAAGATTGGAATAACTCTCCTGTTTCCATGTGGTGCCCCCTCCAAACTCTTTCAAAGTCTTTGTTACCAGATAGAAAGATGAGGACTGTTAGTCCAAAACAAATTAGGGCTCCAAGTGCTCGTTAACCTTGGAAATGCTGCTCAAAGTGAGAATCCTATAGCAACTGGCTTGAGCGATGAGATCCCAAATCCAAAAGGCCTTAATAAACTAAATTTGGTTTCAGAGCCACTACTCTGCCTCCTGTGCTGCTGTAACAGGATGTCCCAGGAACTGGTTACACACTACATGGGAAGAAAGAGACTTTGTGTGGCTTTCAGTGATATGTTTCAATACAGTATTAAAGGATAATTTAAGGAACTATTTATATCCCATTAGCTGCTACTCTAGGAGGAACTCCACAAGATGTCTCTTCCTCTCTCCTTGATCTGTTTTATCCCAGTGGAAGCTGCAATTTCGGTTTCCAACCTCTGCAATCCAACACATCATTCCCAACTCCACAGGCTGAGTTGACAAGCCAGGTTCCCTCAGCCCTGGGCGAGGCACAGAACCAGATGTGTTATGTGCTGAGTGCTGCCTTGCATTTCCAGAATTGTCCAGACTTCCCAAGTTCCCAGAATCCCTGTGTGCTCTGCTCACCCATGGGATTTCACAACAAGAGGAGAGCTCACAGTTCTAGACCTCTGCCCAAGGAGACCAGGAGCAGCTGGGCACAGTGTCTGGGAGCAGAACAGAAGCTACAGCAGATGTTGGAAATGTAAGGAATGCCAAAGGCACAATGGGCAAGCAGGAGATAGGAACAAAACCAAGGAATTCCCACTCAGCATCATGAGACTTGACAGGAGTCAGATCCCCAAAAGCCTAACGGTGATATTTCCAGGGACTTGTCATAACGGTAAAATTAAAAAACAAAAACCTCAACAATATCAAACTCAGTTCCACTTTACACTTTTTAAGATTTCAAAATCTTTCCGATCTGAAAATTGCACTTCCCTGCCGGAAGTTTAGAAAGCCCACCCTGCCAGGAACCAGATCTGCAAGGAATCCCTGTGCAGAAGCACTAACAGATCCTGTGTCCCTACTTTTTAGTCAGGATTCCGTAAATTATGCTGGTTCACAGGGCCTCTCCCTGTTCTGCGGAGCAAGGAGCCATGCCCAGGTCCTTGGAGAATCCAGGATCCTGGCCAAAAAACAGGAGTTTGAAAAGCTGGGGCCACTCAGAGCTGCCCAGCTCCCTGCCACGAGGCCAAGATCTGAGCAGAGCTCTGAAAGGTGTGGCACAGATTCTGGAAGAGTTGGGAACTCAAAGCCTCACTTGCTCCAGGGCTAATGGAGAGCTGGGAGCCAGAAAGCCCTGGAGTCTTGGCTCACCCATGAGCTGCACGCTTGGAATCACAGCTACAGCTTGGTTTCTACGTTGTCAGAACAAAACTGTTTTAATTGAAACTTACACTGCTGCTTTTTTTCCCTTCTCCTCAGACTTCTGTTTTCACAGGAAATTCAGAAAACCAATTTCCACTCTCTGATCGAGTTCCCTCCCGTTTCTGGGAACTGGCATTTCTTGAATACAGAAAACTTGATTTTTCAATCAGCCCCACTCATGATGTCTAATACAGGAAAACCCATTACAATTAACATGTAAAAGTAATAAGCACAGAATAGGATACATTCAGCAGGGAATTGCCTCCCTGACCCTGCAGCCCAACATCCCACCAGGCTTCTTGAACGTTCACCCCTGAGAACAAAACAACAGGAGGCCCTTCTCAGTGAAGTGCCAGACTGATTGCAACAAGAGGAGCAATGTTTTTATTGTCTTAGCACACTGGACCTCTATAAATTTTTGAACTCCCTCAGAAGCACCAGTCATGGGAAAAGAACAGAAGTTAAGTGGTTTAGCCTCTGCCACAAAGGAGGCAGTGGTAGACCTGAGGTTAGATAGCAACAGTAATTCTTAGCCTTACTAAACAATAAAGCAGACTGTTTCTAGGCTGCCATTAATGGCTGGTTATTAGGCTGAAGAGTAGCAAGTTTTGATTTTCCAGCAGGAAAATTCCCCTGGAATTCCTCCAGAGTCCTCTAATGAACAGATGATCTCAACTTTAATCTTACTTCATAATTATCCAAGGGTAATATTTCAATGTGAACTCCTTAAACACATACAATTTCTACAGCAAGTAATACCCAAACTAATGCATTTCTCCTTTGATCCATAAAATGAGTGTGTTGAGAAGCAACCAGCAATCAGGGGATGTTGAGGGTACACTGAGAGAAACTACAAAGGTCAGAGTAACGTGATGGTTTGATCCCACACTATCAAGATCAAAGATCTTCGGTCCCTGCACATTTTTTTTAAGAAGCCAGAATGTCTTTATGCTGACCTTTAAACTGCCCATGGAGGAGCTCTAGCTGACATGTATCTGCCTTCCTGAGATGAACTGGCACCAAAAGTTCACAGCTTTTTTCCTAGGAATCTGAATGTGGCAACCTTGTCCAGAGAGACTCAAGATACTCATTTCATTTTCATCCATAGTAGTCTGCAAACAAACAAAAACCCCCTGAAATAATAAAACCAAACTTCAGGCTAAATAGATTGTTTTCCACTCAGTTGGACTTACCCTACAGCCTATAATTCTACAATTTTGTTTTAAAACTTTTAACTGTGATGTGTGGGGAGGGAAACCTGAGGGATTCTTGCTTCTGGCACCAAGTACTCAGTACACAGCAGGAATGTCTCACTCAGGACAGAGGCAGGGAGGGAGTCTGCCTTGGGCAGTATGCTCCAAAACAAGACCAAGGTGATTTAAGTGAGAACAAAACTCTGTTTTGGATCAAAAGGCAGAAAGCCTGATCACTGTGGATCTTTGGCATGAATACAGAGCATGAAACCTTCATAATCCCTCTGAATCGAGTTTTAAAGAGATACCTGGACTGTCCAAAGGCAAGTTCTTTCCAGTGCTGACAGCAAAAAGTAGTTGTGAGGGGGGAGAAACCATCTCCTTTCTCCCAACAAACTGATGCTCTAAATACAAGCAAAGGCAGCACAGAGGAACAGAGCCAGGCCAGAGAGGGAGTTCTTGCAAGGAGAATCTGCAAGAAAGCAGGGCCAGGAACACTGAACCATTCCACTCCAGGATAAAAAGGACAAGAGGCTTGGCTGGGGAAACAGGCCCAACATATCTCATCTGGTAGAAGCATCTGAGTGGATAAGCTTTAAAGCTTGGGGCTGAAGATTCCAGACCAGATTGCAAATGGAAGGAAAATGTTTATGATAAGAACAGGGAGAGGCAAGTTCCCACTTCCCCTGATGACCCATTGTTCTCCTTTCTGATGGCTGTTGCCTGTTTCCAGCAGACTGGCTGGGTTTTAAGTTACTCTGTCCCTTGTCCTGGCAGGAGCCAGGTTTGCTTATATTACTGAGGCCTCACAACGACCAGAACATCCCAGGCTCAGGCAGGGCTGGGACAAGGTTTTACACAACTTGTTCCACTGAGTTATAATACAAGTTAGGAAGTGAGATGCTGAGCATCCTGTGCATTCTGAACAGCTGCTCCTCTCTCTCCCTTCCCTCACCGAGAGTTCAGCTGCTTTTTTGTTGCTCAAGTGCAGAGAGCTGGATTGGTGGGGCTTTTAAAGTTACAAGCCTCCAAAATGACATTCCCAAATCTCCCATAAGTATGGCCAAAGTCTGCATTTCCAATGCAAACCTGCTCACAAGCTTCCATCTTTTCCTGTCCCTTCACAGACCTCCCTCACTCGAAATCCCTGCTTGGTCTCCAGACTTCCTGGGTATTCACATGATAAGAGTGTTGGTCTGAATGAAGTTCAGTGTCTTTGTGAAGATATGGGATTTATACACATCTCAATCCATCATTTACAATTGGAGGCTCTACCTAATTAATTATGAGCAGAGTGGTTATGGTTAGCATTAAAAAGCATTCAAAATCAGAGCAAATTCAAGCAATGTTCCATTGATTCTTACTATACTATCTGTGCTATTTTACCTCCTTAAAAAAACAGACCAGGGACATGGGGAAAAGTCCACAGCTTCCCTCCACTGCAGGAGGTAAAAGCAAATAATAAATAGGGCATTTTCTTCTCTGAATGTATCACATTTATGATGAGAAGCAGAAGCTTCAAAGTAACTGATTAATTGCTATTGTAGCCATTAAAAAGTATAACAACAAAACAGGGAAAATTAGTGACTTGCACCAAATAGACAAGATTTAGGTACCTACTCATGAATTGATTGCTCTGTCAGTTCAGAATTAATTAATAAAATCTAACTGCAGTACCAAATCACAAGAAATAGCATTATTCTTAAGCATAAACATCCAGAATTTTGTTCAAACAGTATCTTGACTTAACTTTACAATAAGTTACCTCACTGTAAACCCCTAGGATTTAATTATTTACAGTAAATCCTCTCAATCACAGCCTCAAAAATAGTCCTGTAATGAAATAACCACAGAATTATGTGTTAGACAGGTAAAGGTACACGTGGAAAAAAAGAAATCACAAGACTATTATTATACAGGCAATACAGTTTTATTATGTTCTTTCACCAATTGTAGCAAAAACATTTAACAACTGAATGAATAATCAAGGGAACTTAATTGTCAACGGGAATTTCAGAATTATGTTCTAAATTTTAGACCAGGAAGGCTTGACAGGGAGAAAACAAACCATATACACACTTGTAATAATAGTCTCTATTATGAAGATTTAATGCCTTCTTTAAAAGCACTGAGATTATTGAGGCACCTTACTGCAGGTTATGGATCATCTCTTCTTTGGCAATGAGATGTGTGGTTTTGTTAACTAGGGCCATGAGGGAGTTGAGCTTGTGAGACCAGTCATTGAGTAGATTGTTGGGGTCCTTAGGCCTCTGGAAATTGATAATTCCTGCCAGCCTGTCTACTTTAGCAAAGATGGTCTTATTAACTACTAGGTTAGACAGGAACTCCTCCGATTCCTGGAAAGACAAACAGCACTGAGTCAAATTAACAGCATCAGAATTCCTCCCAGACAGCACGAAAGCACCAGGAACAAGATTTCTGTTATATCCAACAGAACAGCTGGAACAACATCGCACTTTAAAAACCTTTTTTTTTTTCTGTTTGACCTATATCTGATTATCTCCCATGAAATTAAAAATTAAAAATTTAATACAGATTTCTATACTTTAAAGTACTTGGCTACACAGATATGAAAGCGAGCCACGT